CTTTTTTCCGTGTCCAGCAACGGATCGCAACCCTCAGTGTTGCCCCCGTACCGGACCGGGGACCGGCAACGGGATCGCAACCCTCGGTGTTGCTCCCGCGCCTCGCTCAGCCAGTGAGCGGGAACCGGTCCGTATGTGGGATCCGAACCCTCGGGCGGGAGCGCCGCCGCGCTTCCCAAGCGGCGCACTATCCAGTGCGCCACCGGGCCGGCCCGCACATTTTCTGTTCTTATATGGGCACACAGGTTGAGAAATCTGATAGTCACCATCTATTTCTAATTTTAGGGTTAGGTTTGGAAATTTGGGGTAAGTACTAATGGCACTTTAAGACATAATTGAGAAAACCTTTTTTTTTCTTTTGGTGGCTGGCCAGTAAAGAATCGAACCTTGGACATTGGTGTTTTCATCACCATACTCTAACCAACCGAGCTAAGAGGCCAACCCAAACCTTATTCATATATGAGCCAAATACTAGTCTCCTTGAAAGTCAGAGAAGTTGTTTTGGATGCATCGTATAAATACCATCTTAAATACATGCAAAGCTATGTTTCTATGGAGTTGATATATTTGATCTGTCTTCTTTGGACTTCTTGGTCTTATTTTAGCCAATGTTTATCACATTCCTAGTCTTTTGGGTCTTATTGTGGGTAAGTAGCAACTTATAATTTAAATGTTGGCATCTCCTAAGTGTGAGAAAAGCCAGAGCTGGCTTCTGGATTCCACCTTCTGTGCAAGAAGATGCCTCAGGAAAAGCTGGCTACAACTGTCTAGGTTCACCTAAGTACCCAGCTTGGGCTTGGCATTGGGAGACTTGGATAGTCGTGTTTCTCAGTATGAGCTACCTTTGGGGAATACCTGCAGACAAAACTCATGAACTGTGAGAGGTTGGTACTCCAGCCCCTAGCTGTAAAGAAATACAGGAGAAATGGACAAGGAATGCACTGTAGTGGTTCTCCCAGGTAGAACTCTGTGGATTTCACTTGACTGTTGGAGTCGCATCACTCTCCAGTTATTGCTAAGATACCTTTAGGGACAGAGAATTTACCACCTCCCCAGACCTGCTGGCCATTTTTGGACAATTCTGACAAATTTTTACTTTTACTTTTGCTTTCTGTAATGAGATGGCTAAGCAAGGAAGAAATCTGTCTCTCAGAAAACTTTTCCCATTCTACACTCACTACTCTGGATCTGATCTGCTGATTTCTTAAGCTTTATTGATTTAAGTCCTGGAGTTATTTTATATATATTTGATGTGCCCAGTGGCAATGACCAAGGTTAAATAAGCATCTGCAAGAGCTTTGTGGGAAGTGTAAGACTATTTGGGGGAAAAGGAATTTTCTCCCAAAAAGCTTTCCAGGAATGTAATTTGCAGGGACTCTGGGAAGCATACTCTTTAGCAATTAAAAATATTTCTGAAAAGCAGTGGCCTTTACTCTTTGTTATTGGATTAGATATTACTCACTTTTTGAAAATCATGCTTACTGATCACATTTCAGTGAAGATTACTTTTAAGATTCCATTATATGGCTGGCCAGTTAGGTCAGTTGGTTAGTGTGGTACTGATAACACCACGGTCCAGAGTTCAATTCCTGTACTGGTCAGCCACCAAAAAAAAAAGAAAGATTCCATTATATGCAATCAATCTTTAGGGGTATTTACAAGAAATGGTTAGAGAAAAAACCATATTGCTCCTTATGAAGTTGGTATTAAGTGACTTATAAGATGTAATTCATTTATTCAGTGTTTAAAAAAAAATGTTAAGGTTTCATCCAAAAGGTAATCTTGTTTGTCTTTTTCAGGTGGTATAATCCAAACATGCAATCTAAATTATGTGTTCAGGGCTGGCCCGGTGGCGCACTGGAGAGTGCGCCACTTGGGAGTGCGGCGGCGCTCCCGCCAAGGGTTCAGATCCCATGTGGAGACCAGTTCCCGCTCACTGGCTGAGCGCGGTGCGGGTGCAACACCGAGGGTTGCGATCCCGTTACCGGTCAGTAAAAAAGACAAAAAAGAAAAAATAAATAAATAAATAAATAAATTATGTGTTCAAAGCACTTCTCAGCTTCTAAGCTCCTGTCCACAGTCTCTCTTCCCCAGATGGAAAGTGTTCATTAATTTTCTTTCCTGAGCAGAATTTTAGTAGTTTTTGCTGGCATGATGAACATGTTACCGAGTCAGTCTTTTAAACTTCTTTCCATACTTAACAATGTTTAATCTTTCAGTCATTTCCTGAGACCTCTTTTGCCTTTGTTAGTAAAGCCTTCTCTCCCTAGGAGTTTTGTTAAATCAGAAAGACCTCATTATCCTCACAAAATCCTTTTTGCCATGTTGCAAACAGGAGGCCCTTAGCCCTTCTCATTTTATGGATATGCATTTAGTATTTCTGGTTATTTCAGACTGACCCCGATTCTTGGCATTCAGAAGCATTCTGAGGAAAATGTGGTATTTATACAGTTTATAGCCACCCTGCTTGAAGAATTACATCTAAAGAATGAAGACCTTGAAAGTTTAACCATCATATTTAGAAGCAACTGTTAACCAGAGTGGTGAGTTGGATTGTGTTAACTTTGTTTTTTTCTTCATTTGTTGTCTATTTGGGTCCTTTTTTTTTTTTTATGTTGGAAATTTTAAAAACCAAGAACATACCTCAAGATGCCCTCAGCTTGCTGAGGAAGGACATGATATCCCTTAGTTCTCAGCTGCCCCAGTCATTTCCTGTTTACTCTTCTTACTTTTGCCCTGTCCCTCCTATTTCCTCCTTTGTAGGCCATAGCAATTAGTTCTGTTTCTTGCATTCCAAGAAATTCCCCTCTATCAGTTTCATACTCAAACCTAGGCCATCCCACATGTCCCATCTGATAAGTTTCTTCCCAGGAAGTAGCATTTTACTTCAGCCCAGCTACTGCAGTGTCCATTGCGAACACGCTCATCCTACTACCCCTTTCAATGAAATCACTTCCTACTCAGCCAATACCTTAGTCATCTCATGTACAGATAAACAGATGAATTTACAAGTCTGGCTCTGTTGAACCCTGATTCTGCTCCCGGACACATAGCCCTCTGCTACTATCCCCAGTCCTTGCCTCTTTCAGAACTGCCCATCAGAATGTCCCCTCTGTCCAGCCCTAATCATAACTCTCCATCTCTTCCTCCTTTACTACTCATTTCACACACTCCCAAGTATTCCTATAGGTATTGATTTAATGTTACAGTTGAAGGAATTCATACTTACCTACAAATGAGATCCTCTAAGAGAGCATTTTCTCTTTAACTTTAAATAATTTTTAAATTATAAGAGCAATACAGACTCATTGTAAAATAAAAATTAAGCAATACAGAAGAGCACATTAATAAAACAAAGGAAAATTCCCCCTTCACCTCTGCCTCCTATCCCATCTCCTTTCCAGAAGCACATTTGATGTATATTATTTTATATTTACTATTATTTTTCAAATTTTTATAAAAATCTTCAAGCAAACCTTTAAATATGCAGGAAGGGTATTTGAGAGAGGTATTTTGGCAGGTAAGAAAGAAAAGCATCCCTTTATTAAACCTGCAAGAAAGTAGAATATAAGGAATGAGCACTGTAACTCCCTCTCACTTATATCCAATGGCCTTTCCAAGTGATCCTGCTACCCCAAGAACCTTGTAAAGCAGAGGCTTTTACTTAGGGAGTGAGCTGAGGTTGGCCTGTATAACCATAGCATTCAAAGGCTCTTAAAGAATGTGGTAAGGTTGGAGTTTTTGTTTTATTGAATGTTAGGTCCAGATAATTGAATTAATCATACTGTGTAGTTCATGGCACCCTGTATCCATTGGCTGAAAGATTTCAGACTGAGAGCAAACAATGCCTGACCAGAAGTACTTCTAGACCTGCTTTAACCAATTAAGAATCATTTTTAATTAGCATATTTTAAACTTATATGTAAACAGATGGCGTTAAAGTGGCTTTAAGGACTTTGAACAATAGATTCTTTAAGTGGACTTAAATAGTTGGCTGGTGATCATTATTTGCTTAAATTGTTCATTTGCTTAAGTAATCAAGGGTAAACCTTGGCCCAGACTTTGTCAGTATTATAAAGGATTATGAATGAATGAGGCCTTATTACATAATTTTCCATATGAGAAATAGAGATGGTTTTAAGTAGGTAGATAGATTTTTTTCTTTTTGCATGATTTTTGTAAACCATGGTAAATACATTTGAATCTAAAGATTTTAATGTCTAGTAACCTTTTCAAGATTACCAGTAGTTACCATATGTTAAAATGCTTTCAGTTGCAAATAACAGGGAAAAAAAATCCAGCTCTAACTAGCTTTTGTTATGGTGGTATATTAGTTCTTTTTTGCTACTTAACAGGTCGCTCCAAAACTTGGTGACTTAAAACAAGAAGTGTTTTTTAAATCTCACAGTTTCTGTGAATAAGGAATCTAGGCACAGTTGATCTGGGATCCTCTGGCTCAGGGCCTCTTATAAGATTGCAATTAAGCTATCTGCTTGGGCAACAATGTCACCTGAAAGCCCAACAATGTCACCTGAAAGGTATTTTATTCAAACTATCCTTTTTTTCTTCACAGATATATTTCATGAAGACAGAATAAAAGATGAACTTCCATTCACCATTTTTGGAATTCTAACCACAATGACGGTCTAGTGGTGACCGATAACTAGCTTTGTTACAAAAAAGACCTTTACCTCCTTAGATTTCAACCCCTACCTCCCAGTCCCTAACTGTAGAGGATAACTTCCCTAGAGGAGAACAATTACTCCAATAAGGATAATCAAGTCCTTGTATCCCTAGCTACAAGACATAGTATTTTTATTTGAAAATGAAAGTTGAAGTCTTAAATTGAAACTTGGAATGAATACTCAAGAAAATATAATGACCTCTGATTTTTCTGGATGATTCCAGCCATCATATCGGTTAACCAAAAAAAAAAAGACAAGAGAGAGAAAATTACCATTTTGGCCTCCCAATCTAAACTCTAGATTCTGAAGAACAGCAAACAATTAGGTCAATAAATGCAATCTAAGATGAAGCCCTTTGGAAGTCTGGTCATTTTTCTTTTAAAGAAGCTGACTGTGCTGTAAAATGGTCCTGAGCAACAAGGTTAACCTCACAAGTCCAAAACAGGAGAATCCCAGAACTTTCTGGACTCAAGGAAATAAAAACAAAATGGAATCTGTAGTTTGTTTTCAAGAGAGACAATCTAGAATTCAGATTACTCTTCAAAGCGTATGTCAAGCAGGCAAGTTAGCAGGACCTCCAGAGCAGTTTAGATGGGCCTCAGATAAGGTGGGGAGCTTTACTGAAGGGCCAAGAAAAAAGATAAAATCAGATCTATACTTTTGGACACTGGAGGAAATGACAGCTGCTAAAGCCCAACCATGGAAAGAGGCCAGAAAGCAGCCTGGTGGAATGGGGAGCTCAGTGGGCAAGGACATAGGGATATGAATTCCCTTCTTGGCTCTGCTGATGATTAGTTCTGTGGCCAAGTTACCTAGACTTTCTGGATTTCAGTTCTGTACTCTGTAACATAAGGCAATGGGCCATACAATCTCTTTGGGAAAGGACTTGCAAAAACTAAAACTGCACACAAAGGCTGCTGCTACCCTGTTGTTGGTCTGGGGCCTCTAACATTTTTTTTACTCATCTGACTGGATGAGGGTCTAACCACAACAAAAAGCATAGTGTAGTAGAATTAATCAAGTTTAACAAGGTCACAGACTACAATATCAATATATAAAAATCAATTGTGGTGTTGTATACAAGCAATGAAAAATCCAAAAATGAAATTAAGACAATTCCATTTACAATAGCTCAAAGAATTAAATACTTAGGAATAAATTTAACAAAAGAAGTACAAGACTTGTGTAATGAAAACTATAAAACATTCAGAGAAATTAAAGGTATAAATAAATGTAGAAACATTCCATGTTCATGAATTGGAAGGTCCAGTATTGTTAAGATAGTAGTTCTCCCCAAATCTACAGATTCAATGCAATCCCTAGCAAAATCAGTGGACTTTTTTGAAAAATTGACAAGCTGATCCTAAAATTTATTTGGAAATGCAAAGGATTCAGCATAGCCAAAACAATTCTGAAAATGAAGAGCACTTCTTGATTTCAAAACTTACTACAAAGCTACAGTACTCAAGATGGTGTGGTATTGATATAAAGACAGGCAGATAGATCAATGGAACAGAAATGAGAGTCCAGGAATAAATCCTCACATTTATGGTCAATTGACTTTTGACAAAGGTGCCAAGGCAATTCAATGGAGAAAAGATGGTCTTTTCAACAAATAGTGCTAGAACATTTAGATATCAGATGCAAAAACATTAATTTAGACCCTTAATTCCTACCATACACAAAAATAACTCAAAATGGATCAGAGACTCAATGAGAGTTTAAAACTTTTAGAAGAAAACATAAAAGAAAACCTAGATGACCTTGATTTAGGAAAAGAGTTCTTAAGACACCAAAAGCACAGTCCACAAAAGAAAATATTAAGAAGTTGGACTTCAAAGTATAAAACTTTTCTGCTTCAAAAAAACACCATTAAAATTGACAAACCAGACTGGGAGAAAACATTTTCAAATCATATATCTGAAAAAGGACTTATATCCAGAATATGTAAAGAATTCTTCAAACTCAAAAATAAGGCAAACAATTTGAAAATGGGCAGAAGATTTGAATAGAATTTTGGCAAAGAAGATATACAAATGGCTTAGCATATTTTCAGATGTGTGGTGATTAGGAAATTGTAAGTTGAAACTAAAATGAGATACCACTTCACACCCATTAGAATGATTATAATAAAAAAGACATAAAGTAAGTGTTGGTGAGGATGTAGAGAAACTGGAGCCTTAATACATTGCTGGTGGGAATGTAAAATGATGCAGCCCCTTTAGAGAACAGTTTGGCAGTATTTTGAAAAGCTAAACATGTTTACCATATGATCCGGCAGTTCCTTCCACTCAGTATTCCACCTGAAGAGAAATGAAAATATGTTCACACACAGACTTGTAGGCAAATGTTCACAGCAGTATTATTTATTTAGTCAAAAAGTGGAAATAATCCAAGTGACCATCAAATGGTAAATGGATTTTTTTAAGTGATATATCCAGACAGTACAGTACTGATACATGCTACAGCATGGATGAAACTCAAAAACATTATGCTAAGTGAAAGAAGTCTGATACAATAGACCAGCATATGGTATGATTCTATTTATATGAAATATCCAGAAAAGGCAGATCTCTAAGGCACATATTAAATTAGTGGTTCCATGGGCCTGGGGTGAAAACAGATATTGTCTGCAAATGGGCACAGGGGCTCTCTTTGGGGTGCTGAAAATGTTCTAAAATTAAATTGTGGTTTTTGCACAACTTTCTAAACTTTAAAAATAATTGTTTTGTGCACTTTAAACAGGTGGATTTTATGTGTATAAATTATACCTCAATAAAACTTAAAAATCATAGATGATGACAGGGCCCTGTCTCTGACCTACTAGTGACACCCGCCAGGGGTAAAGAGGGGGAGAAGCTGCTATATCCCCACTTCTTCCTTCCTTGCACCCAGATATATATCTTCAGTTATCTCCTACACCCTGCAGGTCTAGAGGCCTTAGGTGAGGCATCATTAGCTCACTATAGGAACATTAGGAATCCAAGTGGACCACTGCCACCAGGTCACTGCAGGGCCAGCTGCTTTTGGGGATGCTGCATCTGCCTCTAACACACTCCTGCCAAGTTTTTGTTAGCTTGGGAAGACTAAAGCAGAATTCAGTTCAAAATACTATGCTGGATCTTTGTTTCTAAATATCATTTTCTAGTAAAAGGAACCAAGGCTTCTTGGGAAAATGGCTAGTTCTAAAGCTGGGCAGGGGAAATACAAGATAAGCCCAAAGCATCTTGATAGTACCAGAAAGTAAGCAAGTGCTCAAAACAAGCAGATAGGAGCGTGTCAAAGGGACACAGGAAACAATCTGAAAGACCTCCCAATGGCCAATGCTGGAACAATTTCGTCAACAATATAAACAATATTGGATTATAACCCAAAGTATAAAATATGCGTGAGTTCATACTGATATAAATGATGGAATAAATAAATGGAGAAGAGACACATCTTCCTTACGAAAGAGTTCCAAATAATATATGTAGGGCCCTTTCACACTACCCAGAGAAGGGGTCCATATGGCATTCTTAGTACCCATCATGACCTAAAGGGAAACTTTCACAATGTCCAGGAACCCTTGATGTCCTGCAAATGGAGGACTATGTCCTCAAGTTCCTTGCAGCAGGAATTCAGGTGACACCAGTCTTGACTTCCAAATGGAATACTACATCTACAGAAAGGAAAAGTAATGGTATCTATATCATAAATCTGTAGAGGACCTGGGAGAAACTTCTGCTCATGGCTCATACCATTGTTGCCATTGAAAACCCACCAGAAGTCAGAGTCATATCCTCCAGGAATATTGACCAGCAGACTGTCCTGAAATTTGCTGCTGCCAGTGGAGCCACGCCTATTGCTGGACACTTCATTCCTGGAACCTTCACTAACCTGAGCCACTCAGCCTTCCGGGAGCTACATCTTCTCAAGGTTACCAATCCCAGGGCAGTTCACCAGCCTCTCAGAGGTATCTTATTAATGGTAGTATGGCTACCATTGTTCCATGTAACAGATTCTCCTCTGTGCGGTGTAGACATTACCATTCATGCAGCAACAAAGGAGCTCACTTAGTGAGTCTGATGGGGATGTTGGGCCAGGAAGTTCTGTGTGGTCTCCAGTGAGCCCCCATGGGAAATCATGCCTGATGTCTACTGAGATCGTGAAGAGACTGAAAAGGAAGAGAAGGCCACTGCTGAAAGGGCTGTGACCAAAGAGGAATTTCAGGGTGAATGGACCGCTCCAGCTCCTGAGTTTACTGCTTCTCAACATGACGTTGCAGGCTGGTCTGAAAGCGGACAAGTCTGAAAGCATGCAGGTGCACTCTGGGCCTATTCAGCAAGTCCCTACTGAAGACGGGGGCACTCAGCCTGCCACTGAAGACTGATCTGCAGCTGCCGTTGCTCAAGCACTGAATGGGTAGGAACGATCACTGAGTGGTCTTAAATTGTTTTACCACGAGCTATTAAACAGAAAACAAAAGATTGTTAGAAAAGAAACATCTGGGGCCGGCCTGGTGGTGCACTGGAGAGCGCGCTGCTTGAGAGCGCGGTGGCGCTCCCGCTGAGGGTTCGGATCCCATGTGGAGACCGGTTCCCGCTCACTGGCTGAGCGCAGTGCGGGCGCAACACCGAGGGTTGCGATCCCGTTGCCGATCCCTCGTGCGGGCGCAACACCGAGGGTTGCGATCCCGTTGCCGATCCCTCGTGCGGGCGCAACACCGAGGGTTGCGATCCCGTTGCCGATCCCTCGTGCGGGCGCAACACCGAGGGTTGCGATCCCGTTGCCGATCCCTCGTGCGGGCGCAACACCGAGGGTTGCGATCCCGTTGCCGATCCCTCGTGCGGGCGCAACACCGAGGGTTGCGATCCCGTTGCCGATCCCTCGTGCGGGCGCAACACCGAGGGTTGCGATCCCGTTGCCGATCCCTCGTGCGGGCGCAACACCGAGGGTTGCGATCCCGTTGCCGATCCCTCGTGCGGGCGCAACACCGAGGGTTGCGATCCCGTTGCCGGTCAGTAAAAAAGACAAAAAGGAAAAAAAGAAAAGAAAAGAAACATCTGTTTCTAAATAAATAAATCATAATATATGTAGATACTACTTCCAGAAGGTGGAGCTTAGTCCACCCTTTGAGTGGGTTAAACTTAATGACTTGCTTCCAAAGAATAGAGTAGGGAAAGGAAAAATACTGCCTTTGCCATGTGATGGAGGTTAACATCACCAGTGATGTCATGTGCATATCATGTACCCCCTGATGTGTGATGAGAAGGGCACTTCACCTCTGTGGTATTCTTTTCAAAACCCATAACCTCAGTCTAATGAGAAAAATAGGCAAACCCAGTTTGGGGGACATTTCTGCAGGGTA